TCCAGAATATTTTTTAATTAATTAAAAGTTTTTATTTTTTCATTTAAAATTCCTAAAGCATTTAATGGCTGAGCTTGCAAAAAATGTACAGGATTTAAGTATACCTAAGATTTACTCTTTTTATTTTGAATGTACATTACTAGTGATTTAACTAATTAATAAATAGATACTATGAGATCTTAAAAATAGTAAAGTATGCTATTAAAGATCCACTGATAGCAACAATTATCTATCCAATTTTAATTCTTGTATCTTCGTTTTAATCTTAACTATCCTTAACTAATAATGAAGCATAAATTTAAATGGCTATCATTAAAATTTCCTAATAATCTACCACATCTGATAAAAATGCTTTAACATCAATTTCATAGCAAAAATTTTAATTTTAATTAGTGAAAACACCTATTTTTTTGAATGAAAACTCTTCTTAGTTTTTTTATATTTTAAAGAATAAAGCAAAAACATTTATTAAGAATAACTAAATATTAGAGGATATAAACAAAGTACATAAGATATAAATTAAAGTGAAAGTGAAGCAAATCTAAATTAACATCAATTTAATCTTATAAGCGAAAAAAATAATTTTTTTTGAAAATTTTTAATAAAGTTTAAAGTAAGTAAATAAATAATAGATATCTTATTTTATTTCTGATAAAGCCCCTAATTATTTTGATTAAGAAATAAAGTAAAGTGAATTAAATATTAGAGAATTTACAATCGGAGCATTTTTAGATCAGTACAGGTAAAAACCTCTCTGCCACACTATTTTTTCGCCTTCCAAGTATTTTCCTTGGAGGGCTACTTTTTAGACTTTTTTAACAAAAATATATTGTATTTCTAAAACTTATTAAAAATTTGTTAAAAATTGTTTTTAAAAAAGTCTAAAAAGTAGCCCTCCAAGGAAAATACTTGGAAGGCGAAAAAATAGTGTGGCAGAGAGGTTTTTACCTGTACTGATCTAAAAATGCTCCGATTGTAAATTCTCTAATATTTCTAATGCAATTGGCTTAAGATGAGAGTTTTGAATAAAATAGATAATTTTAGTATTAAATACAGGAAATGTTAGATTTTTAACTCCACAATCAACTGCTCAATGCTCTGCAAATTATGAAACTTTTTCTTATCAGATTGGCGATTAATTTTTTACTTTTCTCATTTTGTTACCAATACTGAAACAATCAATATCAATAAATAGAGTTAAAAACCACTATCTAACTAACACCATTCTTGTTAAAGCAATAATAATTTTAGTTAGCAAGTAAACATTTTTAAATAAAAATTTTTATTAATTTAAAAAATATAAAGTAATAGGTTTAAACTATCAATAATTAGAGCAACTTGAAAGAAACAAATTAAGATAAAATTTATGAGTTACCATTATTAATTAAGTAGGTATCTATCAATTAGTTATAAAATAATAGCTCACAATAATCTCAGTAAACTAGAGCCAATAAGTATCTTGCTAATAATTCAGAAAAGAGTGTTGATACTACATGCTCAACTTAAAATCCTTTAATTCTACAAAGTTAAGAATTTAGTGAGAATAAATTATATTGTGATGAAAAAAATGGCAATAGTATTTCAGTAAGGAACTAAATAAATCAATGCAGATAAAAATTTAGCTTAGAAAATATCTATTTATAACAACAGTAGCAGAATAATAATACTAATGAATTCAAATTTTCAAATTTAAATGACAAATTAAATTAAATGAATAGTGCATTTTAAGGCTTAATTAAAAAATTAGCTCTTCAAAAAAATGAAATCAATGAATAAATTTTAAATTCTTTGTCACAAACTTCCACCACATCAAAATAACTCTCGACGAACGGAGCAATAACACATTCAGCTCTTCTGGAAAAGTTTTAATTACAAACCTAAGCGATGCTAGGATGGCTATTGTAGAAAATTAGAATTTTTTTGCACTTAAAACAAATCCTTAAACAAATATTCCTATCTAGAATATAAACAGTCAAAATCAAAATTAAAATGAATAATAAAGCTCACACTAACATTTTTCAAGAGACAATATAAATGGGATAGATTTTAATTCATCTTAGTGCTACTTCTAATAAGATTAAATGAAATAGAGTTAAGAAACAATCTAACGCATCAATAATATGATAAGTAGCAAAAAGTATCAAAGAATATTTTAAAAACATGAAATAGTGTTAGCAAAATGAAGTAGAAAAATAAATCATATAATTAAACATTTCAAATAATAATGAAATAAATTATTTCTAATAAAAAGAGCTAATAGATTAAGAAATATATAGGCACTAGTAAGAATTATAAGAAATTCTTTTCTAATAAAATAATTATAAAACGATGTCAATATACAAAATAAAGTTAAAAACTTGAATAATTATTAGCTAAAACAGAAGATTCTAATCATTAATAATAATAAAATCAAAAAAGAAAGTTTTCTGGTTCAGAAAAGGAAAATAGTTAATTAAATCTTTAGTAAATTGAATAACTCACATTAATTTCAACCACAATAGTAATAGCAAAAATAAATATTACAAACCAAAACAAATTTTGAAGATTAAAAGTTTGATTCTTATATTTAAAGCCTTTCAATATAATGATCATAAAAAGAGAGAGATGTTGCTGATCTACAATTAAATTTAGCAGATAAAGAAGTTTAAATATCAGCACTCTACTTAAAAAATAATATCTAATAACTTTAAAATGAATAAATGAAGTATCATCTTGAAAAGGCATTAAGTATTATTGAAAACTTTTAGCTATTCTCTAACAATTTCGCAAAGTTAAAACAATTAAAAGTAAGCAAGTAAAAAAGAATTTTAGCTAATCATTTAAACAAAATGGAAAATTAATTACAAATTGTTAGAACAAAAACTCATTAAAAAATATAATTTTATATTTTAAAATGCATGTTAGTTTGTTTATTTGCTTATAATTTTAACTCATTATTTAACAAAAAAATATATCTTTAATAACTTTATCAAAAGTTTTATTAAAATAACAAAAAATTGAGGAGAAAAGTAAATTTAATTAAATTTTTACTATAAAAAGAAAGACCAATAGATATTTTTTGTTATTTTAATTAATACATTTAATCAAAAACACTTTCAAGAAAAAGAAACTAAACAAATCAATATTCAAATAAGTATTTATATGTCTGATGATGAGGAACTAAAATGGCATATTTTTTATCAGAAATAAACTAATTAGTGATTATTATTTGATAGATATTCTTTTCAAAAGTAATTTAATTATACTTCTATATAAAAGTTAGCTTTAAATTTGGTTTTATATTTATGATTTATTTTTATTGAATTAGCTCATCAATCTCATTTAAATTTCTTTTTCTTTATTGTTAACTTAAATTATTAAGAAATATTTCAATTATCTCAAATATATTTTGGCAGAAACTGAATTTTGAAACAGGTTAAATTATTTTACATTTAAGGATTATCTTCAAGCAGATCAATTAAGATATCTATTTATTCTTCTAACTACTTCTTTTATTATTATTCTTTTTCTACTAAATTTTTAATATATTAAAGACAATTTAAATCATTAAATTGTAAAATAAATTATAATATTAAAGGTGAAAGAATTTCAACAATACTATCACCTATAACTATCTATTTATAAATTGATTAGTCCACATCATAAACGCTATGTATATCCATATTTAATCAGAAGTTTTTTTTGTTGATAATTTTTTCGATAATCCTCAAATCTGTCTAGTTAAAATTGTACTTTTGTATTTCGTTTTATATATATATTTTTTTTTTTTCTTAGTTAATATCACTCATTTATGCACAAATGTTATTTTATTTCTTATTCAATTAGTATTATAATTTTTTTTTATTTTTCATTGTTATGCCTTTACAATCATTTGTTAGAATATTGATCATTTTCAAACTGCTTTTTATTTGGAGAGTTTTTTATTCATTTTGTATTTTAATTTGATAGTTATCCTTTATGATATTTTGTTACTTCTATTTTTGTTTTCCTAATCAAAATAAATTTATTAGTTATTTAATTGATTATTCTATATATTTTAAATGATTGACCATTAAGATTGATCTATATCTTTTAAATTCGAAGAAAGATATTAAGAATTAATAATTGAAAAATGATTTTAATTTTAATTTGAGATTTGTTAAGAAATATTATTTCATATTTATTATAATTTAGTTTATATTTATTTGAAATCATGTCTTTTTTTAGGATCTTTTAAAAGGCATCTTATCACCAATTTACTTACATCTTAAAATATGCCTTAAAATAAAAGTTTATCTAAATTGTTATTATGGTGAATAAGAAAATTAAAAATCTATATTTAATCGCCTTTAAATATTTACTTGCAAGTAAACATTTGAAATAAAATTAATCCAAAAAACCATACATCTATCTTATCTCATATTTTAAGCCTTTCTTATAAGAAGATAGTATTATTTCAGGAGCCATATAATTTGATGTTCCTACTAATGATTTTAAATCTCTCTCTACCTCTTTAGTTAGTTCATAATCTGATATTTTAGCAACAATTTTTTTTCCATCATTTTGGATCAATATTCAGGTTTTAAATCTCTATGCGCTAGGTTTAGTTCTTTTAATATCATCATGCCTTTAGTAATTTAAATTACAATATCTATAACTTTTATTGCTTATTCCAAAGTCTAAACTTCTTGTTATTTTTTAAAGAGATAATTATAGAGATCTCCTTCATTACAGTACTCAATTACTATGAATTTTATTTTTTCCTTTTCACCAATTAAGTCATAAATTTTGACTAAATTTTCTAATTATCCTAAGTTTTCAGAATATTTATCTTAAATCTTTTTTAAGACTGCATAATCTACTTAAAAATCTTTTATTTAAAAGAATAAATTTAGCGTTTACCATAAAAAAGTAACCAAAGAATATAAAAAATGATGTATTACTTGAATCCTTAAAGTATTCCTTAATAATTACCTGCTACTAATTTTTTAAATCGATCGCAAAATATATAGAGGCTTATCCTCCTTATATTTAGAGATTTTTATTTTCTTAGTATTTACTCATTTCTCCTTCAAAAATTCTATTTTACATTTATAATTTAATGAATTTACTATTTTCCATATATTTATCTAAATTTAATAATAACAACTTTATTAAACCTCTTCCTTCAAACAACAAAGTCGTCTAATTAATTAATTGATAAATAAATAAACTATTTTACATTATCAAAATTAACTTTAAATTTATTTTTTTAATTAACTTAAATTCATCCACATATTTTTGATATCTAATATAAAATAATTTAATTGCAGCTCCTAATCAATCATAAATCTAAATATTTTTATGTATGTACCAAAATAAATTATTTAGGTTAAATTCTATTTTAATATGGCTTCTATCATTATTTAGAAAAAAACTTTTGAATCTGACCCTTTATGTTAATTATTTTTATATTAAATTAATTTAAAAAAAACTAAACCTAAAATAATATTAAATATATTAAAATTTTAGGAAAAAAATAATATAATAAAAACATTTTAATTTTTTGCATGTAATATTTCATAATATATTTATTTTAAATTCTCTTAATAATATTCTTAATAAAAATAAGTAGTTTTTTATTTTATTTACAAACAAATAAAGCTTAATATTTAATATAAATATATTATTAATAGGGAAAAATGAACTTTAAAATTAATTGATAAATCTTATTAGTTAAAAACAAAAAAAATATATATATTATTAATATTGAATAATAATTTTCAGATATTTAACGTATTATCAATTTCATATTCAGTAAAATAAATTAAATTATTATTTTTATCCACCTGGTTAAAAGAATTTAATTTTATTTATTCATTAAAGTTATCCTCTTTATCTTTTTAAGTCTCTTTCTAATCCATTGCTATATTTAATTCTTGAAATCCTAATATTTTAATTAAAAAATTTAATGATTAAAAAAAAACTATTAGTTTTACATCAAAAAAGAGGAGATTAGTTTATCTAGCTGCTATAAACAGTATTTGAGTTATTTTCATTATCTTTATCAAATTTATCACTTTCAGAGTTTAATTTTTGTTAATTTTCAGTAAGTAAGTATTTTTGTTTTAATTTTATTAATTTATTAGAGTTATCCTCTTTATCTTTTTAACTTTTTTTCTAATTTCTTACTAAATTTAATTCTTCGAATTCTAATTTATATTTAATTAAAAAATTTAATGATTAAAAAAAAACTATTAAAAATATTACATAAAAAAATAGGAGATTAGTTTATCTTGCTGGTATATACAGTATTTGGGCTATTTTCATTATTTTTATCAAAGTAATCGCTTTCAGAGTATAGTTTTTGTTAATTTTCTGTAGCTGAGTCATTTAGTTTTAATTTTATTAATTCATTAAAGTTATCCTCTTTATCTTTTTAACTTTCCTTCTAATTCATTACTAAATTTAATTCCTTGAATTCTATTATTTAATTAAAAAATTTAATGATTTAAAAAAACTATTAAAAATATTACATAAAAAAATAGGAGATTAGTTTATCTTGTTGGTATATACAGTATTTGGGCTATTTTCATTATCTTTATCAAAGTAATCGCTTTCAGATATTAATTTTTGTTTATTTTCAGTAGCTAAAAAATTTACTTTATTTTATTTAATAGTTTAATTAATCTATTAATCTTTAAATAGTCTTTGATGGTCTCTACCTATAAATTAAATATATTAAATATAACAAATAAAAAGAGTTTTAATACCTATTTATATCTTTAAACCAGATAATAAAAGATCATACTTTTGCTCTTTACTAAGATTTAAAAATTCTTAAAAAATTCTTTTTATTTTAGCTTTCAATTAAGGATTTAATTTTTATTTTTGAAACTTTTAAGCATGCAACTTTGTAAAAGAAAATTTTTTAAAAAATGAAATGATAACATTCTTAAATTACATTAAAAGTCCTATAATAACTCTTTTAATTATTACAATAATAAACCAAGCATTGATTGTGATTATAATTATAATAGAGGTGATTACATAATAATTGAAGGGATTGTTGCTAATGAATAAACAAAATAATACAGAAACTGCACACACGTTTGTTTGATAGAAATCAACTGTATTGTACCCGCTCAAACGATATGGTTATAAAACACTAGATGCTATCCCATAGAGAGAAACTACTATAAAAATTAGCACTCCTTTAACATTAATATCTTAGGAATAGAAATTAAGAACAATAATGATTAAAATTTTTTCTAACATTTTCACGAATTCCCAATAATATTTTTGGATTTTATACTCTTTGTATAAAAAACCATATTTCTTATATATTTAAATGTTTTGCAAGTCATTTTTATTTCTGTATAGTATATAAAAAAGTCCAATAGGTATAATAAAAGCAAACACTAATAAGCAAGGAGCCACTAAGGTAGAACTATATCTCTAATGCTGATTAGTGTTACATTCATAAGTTACATTATAAAGTATATAACTAGAATCTCCAATTACTCTGCATGAAAGAATAGCTATCATTTGAGATACTAAATCGGGCTAAACTAAAATAAATATAAAGATCGCAGCAGTACACATAGAATAGTAACGAACTTTTATATTTGTAAATACCCTTTATAAAATTAAACTAAGTACAAACACCATTAAATAGCCAATTGGAACAATTATAGTAAATAATAGTTTAAGATATATCATTGGTATATCTGTTTTTATATCTTTTAATATACATTCGGCAGAATTCATTTATTATCTTACAGGTGTTCCTAAATACTATGAAGTATCAAAAATATCTTTTGTTTGATAAAATTAAAAATTTTCATCTTAAAAAATTTAGTTAATATAAATAAATAATATTGATTGATAAATTAATAATTTTAAAATTAAAAAATTTTAATTTTTTTTACCTGTAGTTAATTTTATATTGAAAGTAATGATTGACCCTATTATTTGTAAATAGTTAATGAATACTTTAATATAAACACTAGCTTTTTCGCCATTTCGAGATTTTTTATCTTTTTGGTTATCATATTTAACAATTAATTTTGATTAATATTTAGTCTCTTTTAAGGAAGTGATTTGATTATTCTTTGATAAGTGTCTTTTCAGAGCTACTTAAAAATCATTTATTGTTTATTCCTCTAAGTCTCCTTTTATAGCCAGCCTAGTTGAAAATAAAGTCCAGATTATTATTAAGATTGATTTCCACAATAAAGCACTCAATTCTTTACATTACCCACATTGATAAGATCCAACTTTAGAATAGCTTTCTCCCCAATAACTTCCATAAATCTTATTAATTTTAAATTTATTCTTAAAGTAATATTTAAAAAATTGTATTTACATCACATTCTTCACACAATGGTCCTATGTAACCTTATAAGCATACTTAATTACCATAAGTATTTCCAATACAGTTTGAAGGTTTATTTACACATTCTATAACAAGAGGACTACTTTCATTTTTTCTCCAGAATCCTTAATTTACATATATAATTCCATTTTTGCATATTGCTCCAGAAGGACATGAATAACATTATTGTGTATCAAGAGAGTATTTATCTTATTCACAAACAACACATTCTGTATAAGTATTGTAAAAATTCTGAATTTCACCATAATTACAACTTCTAAAATAAACTTCTAATTCATAAGAATAGTTAGACTCAAATTAATTAGTTTATTTATTTAAAATTTTTATAACATCAGATTTGAACTCAATTATTGCTTTTGAATTTGGAATCCCTATTAATTACATACCTTAAAAAACAAATTATTTCTATTTTAAATCAACAAATGCTGTAGAATTTCCTCTAATGTAATAATTTGATATATTTTTTGTTTTGCTGCTAAATTATGCTTAAATCATTATTTTATCAGCATCTAATGGAAATATTGGTTTAGCTGTTTAATCTTTTAGCTAAAAGATTATATCTGGAATTTAAGCTCCACTTCTAAAATTTGATAAAAATAAAGAATTAGTTGACTAATTGAAATATTTATTTAAATCTGTAGTCATGATCAAACCTAAATGATCAGGATACGAATTGATATTGTCTCCATAAAGAATGGCCTAGTTATTCAATATAATGCTTTAAGAATCTATAATTGGATTTATACCTAGATTATTAATGCATCCTCCGATAACTGCTTAGTTATTTGATAGATTTGTTTTATAAATTTTGATTTATTACAGTGCTGTTGATTCACTTTCTGAGTTAATAAATAATGCCCCACCACTTCCATTTAAAGATTGATTGTCAGTAATTTAGCAATTAGAAAAAGTTAAAGTAAAAACCTATTAATTATATGATTAAAAATTTTAAACTATTTAAAAAAAAAGAAGTATTACATCATCATTTTAGGCTTTTAAAAAAATAGCTCCTCCATCTGATATGGCAGTATTTCCAATCATTTGAGTATTTTGTATATAATTAAGATTAGAAACCAAACCATTAACTGATATAGCACCACCGTTATTGGCCTATTTTTTAATAAATAATTAAATTAAATAAAAGTTTGTGTGATATTAAATTATTTTAATCACTTTTGATTCTAAAAACATAGAGTCAGATATGAAAAATTGCGTTTAGTTCAACTAAAGTATAGAGCCAAAGCATAGCATGCAAATTATTTTCTAAAATATTGTTTATTATTATATTTATAATTTAGATTAATATAGTGATATAAGTGCTCCTGAATTTATCTGTGAAATCTAGGATTATAATAATCTTTTTGAGGATATCTAATTTATATTTATGAATTAGGAATCTTCAATTGTTAGATATCCTTAATTGACACTAATTAAGTATGTGGAAAACGTAGAGTCTTTAATTATTAATCTTTAAATTATAATACTTGTATTAAAACCATTAATTAGAAGAGGGGAAGTATTTTGTAAATTTTTTATTATTAAATTTTAAAATCCACAATCGACAAATGAGAGGATAGATTTTTAAAGTTAGAAAAATGACACTGATTAGATGTCAGATAGCTTTGTTATTTGATTCAAATAATCAGGATAAGTTTAGTTAATATTATTATTATTAATATTAAAAAGAGTAACATTAGAATTTTAGGTATTCAAA